CCCCATCAGAGAGCAGCACATACATGACGATCACATGTGTCCCCATCAGAGAGCAGCACATACATGACGATCACATGTGTTCTAAGTATCACATCAGCTGTAACGTTGTCATGGTTCCTCTTCTATTGTGGATTTCTACATTGAAGTCGTCACGTTGACATCACGCCTCTTCTTCTTCTTCTGTTACAGAGCAGGTGGGATGGCGAAGAGGATCGCAGACAAGGAGTTAACGGACAGGAACTGGGATCAGGAGGAGGAGGGAGAGGAGGTGAGTCTCACACCAGCGGACCTCACTCACGCAGTGTGGGACAAACTGTCCACGGTGTAAACATGGATGTTTTGAACATGGTTAGAGTAAAGATTTAGGTCTGTGTGGTTTAGACTCTTCATCCCTTCTGTCAGGAGAGGTTGTGGGAAACAGGAAGTACTGTAAGATGTAAACTTGACTCAGTGACGTCTCTCATCAGGCCGGGACGTTTTCAGTTGCAAGTGAAGATGTGTTGAAGAACCGAGTGGTTAAAAAGGCCAAACGCCGCAACGTTGGAGCAGAGGTAAAACTCAAACCTCAATATAAACTGAGACACTTGAAACAACTTGTGAATGAGAACTAAATCCACCACCGTGAAAGTGATGAGCATGTGTCCTCTGTTTCAGGGAGACAACAGCGGAGCTTTCAAAGGTTTCAAAGGTTTTTCTTTGACCAAGCCGGCGGCGGCGAGCGCAGCCTCGCCTCCGACCATGTTCTCTGGGTTTGGTAACGGAGGAGGATTTCAAGGCCTCGGCAGCCTGACCAACGGAAACAGCATCAGTCCGTCATTCGGAGGTTTCTCATCTCCGGCCACGTCCACTGTGACTCCAGGTGAGAAGACACGGTCTGTCCGTGTTTGTCTGATACGACAGACGTTGCTCTGCTGGTTGAGTTGATAAATCATGATGTGATGTAAAACACGTGACTCTGACAGTTACAGAGGTTTGATGGTGACTAAAACTATTTAAAATAATGAAAACAGCAGTTTGGTCTCAGGTCCGACTGACGTCAGCTGATCGACGTCTTCTTCAAACTGCTTTTATCAAATTAACACAACATCTTAGTTTTGTTCGTTTTCTGTGAAAACTTGTGACTAAAATTCAAAAGCATATTTTATTTAAAGCAAATTAAAATATGTAATTAACTGAATGTTGGTATATTTATTAAAAGATGTGACCTCACTGATCTCAGTGACATTTAAAGAAAAGCAGAGATTTAAAACCAGATTTGTTGGTTTCAGATGATGAAACTTTTCCCATCATGCTTTGTTGTTCAGTCTTGCTCCGCCTCGTGTTGAAGGTCAGTGTAATCGTCAGTGTTGATCTGAGGACGTCGTTCAGTCGTCGTGTAATGAAGTGAAAGTGCTTCATTGTCGAGGGTCTTGTTTTGGTGTTTGTGTGTAATGGAGCTGAATCAGCGTCGCTCTGTGTGTTCGCTCGCTCATGTCGTGGTGTAGCTGCAGGGGAGGGGGAGGGGGGGCTGCTGCATTAGAGGGGGGAGGGGTCTCTCTTCCTCTCTGCTTCATCCGTCTGTAACGTTTCTTCTTCCATCATCTCAGGTCTGACGTTCAACAGCCCCTCCTCCGCCAAACCCATTGCTGAAATCACAGCCAAGCAGACCAATGGCTCCTCCCCAAGTCCGGCTCAAAGCTTCGGCAGCATCGGCGGCGGCAGCAGTGTCGGCAACAAGGAGTACAGCCGGCAGCTCACCGCGCTCAACTGCTCTGTGCGCGACTGGATCACCAAACACGTGAACGACAACCCTCTGTGCGACCTCAACCCCATCTTCAGGGATTATGAGCGGCACCTGGCCAGCATCGAGCGGCAGTACGGCGCCGGATCAGCTGCTGCGGCTGACGGAGGCTCGGAGGAGAAGAAGCCGGCAGGGACGCCCACCTCATCCACCCCTCCTCCTCCCTCATCTTCCTCCCCCAGCAGCTCGGCGGCTCCGGCTCCAGCCGCCACTTTGTTCTCCTTTGCCAAAAAATCCACAGACGACTCGACCCAAGACAAAAGCTCCCCCGCCGCTCCGATCCCCGCCGGCATCACGTTTAACTTCGGGCAGAAGGTGGACAGCTCCGTCCTCGGATCCTTAGGGTCCAAATCGATGACCCCCAGCTTCTCCTTCAGCGCCTCCTCCAGTCAGACCTCGGTGTTCGGAGCTCCAGGATCTGCTGCTTCTCGGTCCTTCAGCGGGACGAAGGCTGAGGACGCTCAGCCTGTAGGTAGGACACCAGATTTATATTTGTCCTGAGTGTGTGGAGGAGACTTGTGTTTTATGATTTACTCTTGAGACAAGAGGCAGAAAGAACCTGAACATTTCATCTTTAGAGATTTAACATTCATTGAATTTAAAAGATGTTAAATATTTGGTTTGAGGATTAACTAAATTAAATATCTGTTGATTTCAAAAACAAGTTTCTTCATAACTTCAGTTTGTGAAACAGGAAATCGTGATGAGCTGTTAATTTCTACTTTTACTAATTTCTTTGTAGAGAAACGCTTCATTAAGAAAATGATTCAAACAGAAGATCTGTTTCGTCTCTAAAGTGTTTAAACTCATTAAATATGAGAAATGAACAGATATTATTTTTCTGTCACAGAAGAGGAGAATATTAATAATGTTTAACTATTGATTGTGTCAGAAACAAAATAAATCAAATCTCACTTTGTTCAAGTTAAAGTGACTTTTAGGGATTTATGTTGTGGATTCAAAGTGAAACATTTTGGTTTTTAATTTCAGTCGAGAACGGAGAGGAAGAGTCGGAGGAGCCGCCGAAACCTGACGTCAAAGAGGTGAAAGAGGAAGATGCGTTCTTCTCCAAGAAGTACGTCCGACTTTTACTAACGTTCTGATGTTAGTTCACATCTTCGTTAGACAGTTGAATGTTTTCTACTTCATCTCTATTAAAGCAAAATAAAACAGGGACTAATATCTGGATCGATGTGATCAGACCAACTATTCACTGACCACAAAGTGAAAATATCTGGTGGTTGATATTAAAAACCTCTCCGGACATTTCAAGATGCTTGTTTTACGATTATTAAACCGAACTTGATTAAATAAAGATTCGAATCAGACTCTGGAGTTAAATCAGTTTTAAAACTCGATCCTGATGCAGAAGTCTTTGTGTTTGTCTTCAGGTGTAAAATGTTCTACAAGAAGGACTCGGAGTTCAAGGAGAAGGGAGTCGGAACTCTGCACCTCAAACAGATCGAGGACGGGAAAACTCAGATGGTCATTCGGGCCGACACCAACCTGGGTAATAAAACAACTTGTTCAGTGGACGGAGCTCGAAACGACGGCTTCACATCTGTTTCTCACAAACCACAGGATCAAGAGTGACTGTGAACAGTTGAACAAATCCAGATCATCAGAATTAACGACTGAGGATTCTGTTCA